TTAAGACTGAAGAAAAGAGGAGGGAGAAGAAAGGGGTAAGTGAGTGGAAACGTTATTTGGGAAAGGCAAAGGAAGGACTGAAAAGCTGGGACATGGGGTTTTCTGGAGAGGTGAAGCTATCTTTTTACATTTTCTTTTTTTCTTTTTTCTTTTTGGGTCACACCCTGCAATGCTCAGGGGTTACCCCTGGCTCTGCACTCAGAAATTATTCCTGGTGGTGCTCAGGGGACCATATAGGATGCTGGGGATTGAACTCAGGTTGGCTGCATGTAAGGCAAATGCCCTACCTGCTGTGCTATTGCTCCGGCTCCACTTTTTATATTTTCTTAACCAGGGGGCCAGGGAGCACTCCCCTTTGGGTTTAAGTTGGGAAGATGGCCCTGGGGAAGAGAATCTGGGTATCCCAGGTACCAATCCAGGCCCACTCTTGGGAAGGGTCTTTCTAGGCAGCCGCCCTGCATATCTCCCATCCATCCCTGTGTTGCTCTGTCATTTTCTCACTGGCCTCGTCCCCTCGATGGCTGGTGCTCTGGATGGCCTACTGCCCTGTCCCCAGTGCTCTGTGCTCTCCTTCTTGCTGCTCTCAGTGCTTTCGCCTTTGCTTTGTTCTCTAGCTATTTGCACGGGGGTGAGGACTGCAGCTGTTCCTGCCATCTGCCGGGGGACGGGATAGGTCAAAGAGAGGACCCCAGAGCATAGGATCAAAGAGAATCCTGCAGCCTGGGTGCCCCTTACATAGGCATTTCATTATCTCCCTTACTAGGGGCCCTAGCCTGTCAGCAGGACTTGAAAGAACCCATTACACCTCATCTACTGTATTCAAGTTCATTACCTGGTGCCCTTCCTGCAGTCCTTCTGTTGACCTGAGGACACCTTCTCATTTCCCAGTGTGCAGTAGCTGAAGCTTGGGAACAGTCCAGACAAGGCAGCATTTGCTATTCCTGGGAAGGAGGAAGTGGTGGGAAAATGCTCTGGGGCTTAGTAGGATTTCTGAGGAGTTTGGTGGTTTTTGGTGTTTTTGTTTTTTTTTTTTCCCATATCTGAGTTTCTGGGTCAGCTTTACACCAGTGCAGATCCATGGCTGGAACATTTAATCGTTATTTTAATTTTGCTAGAAAGAGGACATGTTTATTTTTTAATCAATATAACCACAGAGGGGAATTAAAACCTCACCTGCAACCTCAGGACCGGGTTTATGACTTTTTCCACTTCCTGTCTATCACCAGGCGTTTAATGATGAATAGAGCTGGGAACGAAGGTTTTCTTCCGATTCACTTTTCTTTTTGGTGTTGTAGAGGCCACACCCAGCAGTGCTCAGGGCTTATTCCTGCTTCTATTCACAGGGATCACTCCTGGAGGGCCATGGGGGCCATATGGGGTGCTGGGGATCAAGTCTGAGTCTGCTACAAGCCAAGCAAGCACCCTACTCACTGTGCCTTTATTCCCTCTCATTCACTCTTTAAATTTTTTTAATTATTATTTTGGCTTTTTGTGTCACATCTTGCAATGCTCAGGGGTTACTCCTGACTCTACACTCAGGAATTACTCCTGGTAGTGCTCAGGAGATCATATGAGATGCTGGGATTGAACCCTGGTTGGCCACATGCAAGGCAAATGTCCTCCCCACTGTACTATCGCTCCGGCCCTCCCATTCACTCTTAAACACACCCCAGTGAGCCCTTTGGATTCCCTCCACCCCATAGAACTGCTTTGGGCCAGATCACCACTCCTTGGGGATCCGAGGACTTATTGGGGAAAGTTGGTCCTTGGGTGGTGCTTTGATCTAACCCTCCAGCCACCATGTCTTCATCCATCATCTGTCATTGGAAATTTGGGGTAGTTTCAGATGCTGGTTGTTGTCCTCAGTACAACAATGAACATAGTTGTGCTTGTGTCTTTTCAAGTTATTGTTTTTGTGTTTGGGGGGTAGATAGCAAGGATTGGAGTCAATGGGTCCCATGCAAGTTCAATTCCAAATTTTGTGAGAGCTCTCCACAGGTAACATTCCTACCAAGAGTGACTGCACAGTTCTTCTATTTATATATTTATTTATTTATTTATTTTGGGTCACACCTGGTGATGTACAGGGGTTACTCCTGGCTCATGCACTCAGGAATTACTCTTGGCGGTGTTCGGGGGACCATATGAGATGCTGGGAATCGAACCCAGGTTGGTCACGTGCAAGGCAAAATGCCCTACCCGCTATTCTATCACTCCAGCCCTCGGAGAGCCCGACAAGCTACCGAGAGTATTCGATATGCCAGACACAGTAACAACAAAGTCTCCAATGGAGACGTTACTGGGCCCGCTCGAGCAAATCGACGATCAACGGGAGGGCCTTTACCTTTACCTTTACCAGCCCTGGCAGTTCTTTTTTTTTGTTGCATTCCCAATAACAACTGGTTGTTTCTGATTTTTTTCTTTTTTTTTATTGATTCACCGTGAGGTACAATAAGAAAGCTTTCATGTTTGCCCTTTGATCATACAGTCATCAAACAGCCATCCCTTCACCAGTGTACATTTTCTATCACCAAAATCCCCAGTATCCCCCCTCCCCCTGCCTGTGTGGCAGACAATTTGCATAATACTCTCTTTTTCTACTTTAGTTACCTTTGACATTTAGAGACCAGTCTCACCACCACTCATACCTGCCAAAAAGGCAATGCTGGACAATGTGTTTTGTATTGCTTATTAGGGATACAATATAATGCTCTAGGAATTCTAAAATTTTAATAATTAGGGTCTGAAGAGATCGCTGCAGCAAATTGCTTGAGTTCGAAGTTCGTTTGTGTCATGACCCTGTGGCAACTTAAGTAGATGGTGGCCCTATGTGGTGTCATCTTGTAATTCCATCGGGGCTGGGGGAAGGAGAAGGGCCCACTCCTCCCCTGTTCCTTGAGGCTTGGCATCTGCTGCCACCGCCACTCATTCCTGGAGCTTGATGCTGACTTCTAGAGAATGGCAGCTACCAGGGCTCCTAAAGGGCACGCGGAGGGACGGCACCTGCCTCCTTCTGGAGCAGCCCAGTGGAAAAGGGCCTGTTGCAAAGTCCAGGGCCATCTCTGTAGCAAGTTGCTTGGGTCTGAGGTTCATTTATGTGTCGTTTCTGATCTTTCTGATGCCATTTTTCACTGGGGTGACATGATATCGCATCATCATTTTGATTTGCCTTTCCCTGATAGTAAGTTGATTAGCACTTTTTCCCCATGTGCCTACTGGTTATCTGCACGTCTTCATTCAGGAAAGTCTTTCACTTCTTCCTATTTTTAATTGGGTTACTGTTGTTGAGCTATGTGAATTAATTGTTTAGTTTTGGAGTCACACCTGGAGGTGCTCAGGAACTATTTCTGGTTCTGTCCCAGGGGTTTGCTTATGGCTCAGGAGACTATATGGAATGGAAGATGGAACTCAGGTTTGTTGGCGTGCAAAATATGTTCCCAAAATCCTGATATTAATCCCTTATCTGATGTATTCTTTGTGAATACTTCCTTCCATTCAGTAGGGTATCTTTTTATTTTAGCCTAGGTTTCTTTCACTGAGCACCAAGCTCCCTCCCCGCTCCCATCTTTTGTGGCACTGGGGATTGAATCCAGTTCTCATGACTTTTACTTTAATCTTTATACATGCTAAATTGTTCAGCAGAGTTTAGGGACTGGAGAGATAGTGCAGTAAGTACTTGCCTTGTACACAGCTGACCTGGGTTCAATCCCTGCCATCCCATATGGTCCCCTGAGCACCACCAGAAGTAAATCTTAAGCATTAATGGGTATGGCCCCAAAACAAAAAGAGCAAATAAAAAAATGTTTAAATGAGCATGTGTTAATTTAGTTATCAGATGGGAGAAAAGTGTCTTAATAGGTGACAAGGACGATGATAAAATTATTTAAGAAGTTGTAAGTACAGCAAATCCTCATATAACACTGTTGATATTTTCTTGGAAATTATGACTATATGTGAAACAACATATAATAAAATCACTGTTATTCTTGGTTAATTGACAAAAACAAGAGTTAAGTTCTGAATGCATATTTATGGTAAAAAAAAATTCACCAAATTTCTAAGTAAATACCCAAATGCTTAAAATCTTCAAGGATTATCTGAATGTGTTTATTTTCCAACATGCTTATTTCAGCTCAGGGTACCAGATGGGACAAACCCTGGACATCATTCGATCACTGTTTGTATGCTCACATGCATACACACACACACACACACACACACACCTGTTATAGGACACACACACAAACATACACAATCACAGGGTACACACACCAATACAGGGTATTACACTCACACATACACACACAAACACACACACACACACCAAATTGGAAAGCTGAGATCCACCATCTCAGCTTTCTCATTGTTTTGTTTGGATGCCACACCTGGTGGTGTTCAGAGCTTACTCCTGGCTCTGCACTTCAGGGATCATTCCTGGCAGTCTCAGGAGACTGTATGGGGTGCCAAAGGCCGAAGCTGTGTTGGCTGCATGCAAAGCAAGTACCCTACCCACTATACTGTCTTTACTGCTCCTGAGATCCACCATGGGGATGTGGAAGGAAACCAGGGTAACTGACACCCCCCCCCCCCCGACATATATAGGTATACAAATACCACACAGGGTTCATACTGGGAATCAAGCTTTTCTCTTCATCATTGTTATAATGAAGCAATATTAAGTGAAGCAATGCTATCTGAAAGTTGTATAGTGGATTTAGATTATATAATGGGTAAGAATGATTTTGTAAGTTCTGTAGTATTATGAAAATACAATATAGCAATAGTTTCTAAATCCTTGATCTCTCCTCTTAGGTATGATATCTTTAGATGTATTTAATTTTAGAATTTGATTTTAAAGGGATTTCTGTGGGAAGATGTAATTTCTATGGCATTGTTAATGAAAATCATTTATGATGGTCAAATGGCAACAGTTTTTTACAATAGCCTTTTGTTATTAATTTTTTGTAAAAAGAGAGAAGTTATATTATACACAATTTAAAATTTACTTTCAAAATAATTTATTGTAAAATGACAGTATCAAATAAAAATTTGGGTAATTAATTACAAAACACCCACAGAATTCTTTATAAAGTTCAGAATAAAAGTGGTATTTTGCAAGTTGAAAACTTATCAAAAGGTCTTAGCAGATTATAAATATATAAGGAAATCTGATAAATTTAAAATTGTTTAAATTTTATTATAGATAGGACATACTTGATGAAATTCAATCTGAAATTCTAACCCCAATCATCATTTCTTCCTGATAAATCAAAAATGATTTATCTGAAAAATCCATCAATACTTTAATTCTATGAGTTGACTTTAACTTCTTCACACACTTTCTTTTATAAGTTGGGCTACTCTTTGGCAGGCCTAAAATAACAAAAAAATAAGAATTAATGAGATCCAGGTGCTACTTAGGGAAGTTAATCATAACTTAAAAAATATTCAGAGTATTGATCTTAGGCTGAAGTAAGGAAAACTCAATTTAACATCAGTTTTATTTAGATAGGATACCATCAATGCACTGATTATGTGAATGTAAGCATATCATACTTTCAGGTTTTTTTTTTTTTGGTTCTTGGATCATATCTGACTGTGCTTAGGGATTACTCCTGGCTCTGTGCTCAGGGATCAACTATGATTGGGCTCAAGGATCATAGGGTGCTGAGGATCGAACCCTGGCTGCTTTTATGCAAAGTAAGTGCCCTATCCACTGTTGCTATCTTTCAAGTCCTTCCAGAATATATTTCACCATCATTATTTTGTTTTCTCCACCATATACATGATTATTTTTTTAATCTTTAACCTGTTTATGCATTCTACATAGTTTTAATTAATTGCACAACTCCATTCACAAATAAAAGCAGAAGTAACATATGAAATAAGTGTATAATGACACAAGAAAAGAAAAGAAGAAAACATTCTTCTCAAGGGTAATGGCACTGTTTAATAGATAAATAGATGGCACTTTTGTTTGGTTTCTCAAACCCATGGTTCTCAGTAATTTGTTTTCTCCTTTCCCATCGTTTTGGTCTCATGCTAACTTGACTCTTGCTGACTTTTGCTATCAGTGTCACTCTGGAGAGTGTTCTACTTACCAAATCCAGCTGTTCCGGAGAAGCTAAGGAGAAGGATGCTCTAAAGTAAGGACAGGGAACTGACCTATCATTGTAGAAAACATTGCCAGGAACCATCAGTACCTAAAACAGTTTATGGAAAAGAAGTGAGAGTTAAGGGCACAATGAAAGAAAGTCTAGTTAAATCTCATGTCAGAGGGGGAACGATTTTTATTTGGGGGTGGGGGTGGGGTTAGGATCATTCCTGGTGATACTCAGGGGTTATTTCTGGCTTTTCACTCAGGAATCACTCCTGGCGGTGCTCAGGGTACTATATGGGATGCTGGGGATTGAATCCAGGTCGGCTGCATGCCACTAACCAAGTAGCTACTAACCAAGAATATTTTGAAGGAGAAGGAATACCCATTGTATTGTTTTTCTAGGCCAGGAAAGGATTTATTTTTTTTCTTTTTGGGTCACACCCAGCAACACTCAGGGGTTACTCCTGGCTCTGCACTCAGGAATCACTCCTGGCTGAGGTGCTCAGGTGCTCAGGTGACCATATGGGATGCTGAGGATTGAAACTAGGTTGGCCACAGTAAGGCAAATGCCTTACCTGCTGTACTATCGCTCCAGACCCAGAAAAGGACTTTTTAAAGTTTAAAAACAATTAAAGACTTCAATGAGAAAAATCAAGTTTCTAAATTATGCATATCATACTATAAACAAGGCTACAATCCAAAAGGGAAAAATATTTAGAATAAACAAGTCCAATGGCATCTAGTCTCTACAAGTAAAGAATTTGAGAAGCAGCAATTGAGAAGAAAAACACTGAAATTCTTGCTGACAAGGACAGTGTATAAAAGAGAAATGGTGATAATCAACACGAGCAAATGTTAGGCCCAGTGTGAGAAGTCATGTAAGCTCAACTAATGAGATACATTTTTAAAAGTTATCCAAACGGGGGACTGGAGCAATAGTACAGCAGGTAGGGCATTTGCCTTGCATGCGGCCGACCCGGGTTCGATTTCTAGCATTCCATATGGTCCCCTGAGCACTGCCAGGAGTAATTCCTGAGTGCAAAGCCAGGAGTAACCCCTGTGCATCATCAGGTGTGATCCAAAAAGAAAAAATAAAAAGTTATCCAACCAGTAAATGTTAAAAAGGGGACCTAAAAGCTAAGTGGCTACTAACCAAACAAAAGGGAAAGGAAGAGTATTTTTTGGGAAAAGACATAGATGTTAAAGTCCCCGAGATAGGAAGAATTACTGAACTCCAAGCTCACAGGAGATGAAAAATGATCATATATAAAGTGAAGGAATGCAAATATTGAGCAGGGGCAGGAGCTATAGTAAGGCAGGTAAGGGGGCGCAGGGCATTTGCCTTGCCTGGAGATGACCCAGGGTTAGTCCCTGGCACACAATATGGTCCTCCGAGCCTGCCAGGACTGATTCCTGAGCACAGAGCCAGGAATAATCCCTGGGCATGACTGGTGTGGCCCCCAAAGACAAAACAAAAAAACCCAATACAACCCCCAAAACATTAAGTGATAGCTGGTAGTGGCAGACTGTATTCCTTCTGCACACTTGATTTCGCTGCTGCGTTCTAGGTCCAGGTGCCATGGAGCCCACTTCTGATCAGTGGATGAAAAGCTACTTATAGGCTTGCCCTGACTGTATATTCTCATGGGTGATCCACTCGGCTCCTTCCATAGACCCACCACCAGGGAATTCAGGCTGGAGATAAACGGAAGGAAGAGAATCGCTGTGGGAGCAGCATTCCCTTGTGGGTCACAGCTTTAAATGCCTGATGTTGAGTTACAAGTCAATGTGGATTGTATTTTTTTTTGAAATAGAAAAGTTGCTTCCTTTATTTTCTGATTTTACACTGTTAAAATATTTTCTTAAGTCTGAAGCTAGAGGTTTGAAGAGTACAAGGTGCCTTAAAAAATCAATGCTTAAAAAGGGAATGCCCTGCCACAAAGGCGGGGTGGGGTGGGGGCATGGGGTGGGGGGGTGGGAGGCCACTGGGATCATTGGTGGTGGAGAATGAGCACTGGTGGAGGGATGGGTACAATGTGGATTGTATTTCCTAAAGCCATGATATTCAAAAACCAGCAAAGAAATTCTTGTTGCAGTTGGTAGACCTGGGCACTGTGCTATGAGAGATGCGAGGGAAATGATTTGGTGGTCCCCTGGAGGAAAGATTTCAAGCAAGAATTCCTTCCCTGCCCCTTCCCTTCTTCCCTTCCCTTCCCTTCCCTTCCCTTCCCTTCCCTTCCCTTCCCTTCCCTTCCCTTCCCTTCCCTTCCCTTCCCTTCCCTCCCTTCTTTCTTCTTCCTTCCTTCCTTCCTTCCTTCCTTCCTTCCTTCCTTCCTTCCTTCCTTCCTTCCTTCCTTCCTTTGTGCTCCACTTTTAACAACAAAATGGAAATTGTTTCTCCCAACAGAGTGGGGAAATGAGGGGATTTGCTAAAATCAAATTACTGTAAGAAAAGGAGAGGTAATAATCTCTTTGTAAATGGCCCAAAGTCAGAGCTCAGTCGGGTTTTAAAAACCATGATAAATCTGGAGACTATTTTAAAAAAGGCTCAAAGAGTAGAATTTATGGAATAAACATGGAAAGTATGGAAAAAAAACTACAAAACAGGAAGTCTATATCCCTACCATCTAGATCAGAGATAAAAAGTCCCTAGCAGCATTAAGTGATAATGGAATTGACTGAAAAGCAAAGAAACTATTAAATTTTTTTATTGCACTAAGATGTACTGCTTTGAAATAAGTTGGCATTGTACTTACTAAGTACCTGCTATATGCCATGACTAGGGTTAGAACAACTCATGGAGCATGAGTTCTGCCCTGTAAGCTGGTTGCAGAGGATCAAGTGGCTTCCTAAGGTGGCAGAGTCAGTGCCAGGTCCCATGAGAGGTCTAGAGGGTCACATTTAACCTCCAGAGCAGCTGTGTTCAACTGCTAGCCCACAGTAATTTCCTGTTAGTCCTTAAAAAAAAAATGATTTTGGGGATTGGAGCGAAAGCACAATGGGTATGGTGTTTGCTTCACACACGGTCAACCCAGGTTCGACTCCCAGTATCCCATATAGTACCGTCAGGAGTGATTCCTGAGTGCAGAGCCAGGAGTAACCTCTGAGCGTCGCCAGATGTGACCCAAGAAGCCAAACAACAACAACAACAACAACAACAACAACAACAACAACAATCGTGGCCTAACGCATGGCAGGGTATGCCTCCCTGATCGTGTAGTGACCTAAAGCAAACACTGAGGGGCTCGTTTTAAGTGAAAAAGTATGTAAACTTGTCTATATAGTTTTTAACCTTGAGAAGTAACTGTAGGAATGATTTAATAATTTTATTACACGTGTAAGCTTTTTCCAAGTTTTCTTCCAAGTTTTCTATCACCAACAGTACTGCTACACGGTCTTATGACAAACAACGCTTTTCATTTCTGCCTTCCTACAAAGCAAGTCTTCTATTTTCCACTGGTCTGCTGGTGGAAAAAGGTTGAAAACCAAAATGTCACAAAGCCTCTGCTCAGGGCCAGAGTGATAGTACAGAGGGGAAGGCATTTGCCGTGCATGTGGCTGACTTGAGTTTGATCCCCGGCATCCCATATGGTCTTGCAGTACCACCAGGAATAATTCCTGATAGCAGAGCCTGGGTGTGACCCAAAAAGCCAAAAGGGAAAAAAAACGCCTCTTCTTTACCTTGGTGGTGTCCCTATTCATTTTTTCCCCCTTTTTCTTTTTGGGTCACACCCAGCACTGCAAAGGGGTTACTCCTGGCTCTGCACTCAGGAATTACTCCTAGTGGTGCTCAGGGGACCATATGGGATGCTAGGAATCGAACTGGGGTCGGCCATGTGCAAGGCAAACGCCCTACCCGCTGTGCTATTGCTCCAGCCCCTCCCTATTTCTTTGTAAGGGCACACTGGGCAGTGCTTGTCAGGGGCCGTAAGGCCATGGCCAGCTGAGTTTTGCTAGAGAAGATAATGGCAGGACTATCATGGCCACACCCAAGGGAGCTGAGGGGGTACATGTGTTACTAGAGAGAGAATGTAGGGCCTTGAACACTCGAGGTATATGTTCCATCACGTGGTCCATCTTCACAATCTGATAAAACTAGTAACTTTCAACCCTTTCCCACCTGTCACCTGATCAGCCATTGAGAACCACTTCCCAATATGACCTGGTTTCTTGTGGACTAGAATGGTGTCATACAATATTCATCAATCTTTACTTTTCTATTTGTTGCTTCCAGGCCAAAGTGAACCTAGGAACTAAGATCCAATACCCTAGTGTTGACAAAGGACTGACAGCATTGATAAAGGACTTTGTTAATGGAGAAAGGATCATTTATGTGGCAAACTGGAACGCTACACAGAAAAATATTTAGTGTTCTTTATTAAATCGAGATCCATAATGATATTTTAAGTAAACTTAGCTTTAAGTGCAGAGAAAAATGACCCAACAGAAATACTGATGGGCTCATTTTAAGTAGAAAAGAAGAACATAAACTTTTCTATATGGTTTTTAACCCTGTCAAGTGAAAGTAGAGATTATTTAATAATTTATTACACATGTAAGCCTTTTACAACTTTTCTATCATAAATATATTTTACTCTAATAATTAGAAAACGTTCCTTTTATTGTACATGTGAGTGGCTAATACTTAGAGTCATTTACTATGTGCCAGGTGCTTCATGCATATTAGCTTATGACTCATTATAGCAATCCTGAGGGGGATTTTTTTTAACATTTATTTTTTAGCTTTTTGGGTCACACCCAGCAATGCTTAGGGATTATTCCTGGCTCAGCACTCAGAAATCACTCCTGGCGATGCTTGGGGGACCATATGGTATTCTGGGGATTGAACCCAGGTTGGCCGAGAGCAAGGCAATCGTTCTACCTGCTGTGCTATCACTCCAGCCTCTGAGGAGGATTTTTATGATCTCTCTTTTATAGATGAATAGCACAGCGGGTAGGGCGTCTGCCTTGCACACAGCCAACATGGCCGACCCGAGTTCGATTCCTCCGCCCCTCTCGGAGAGCCCGGCAAGTTACCGAGAGTATTCGATATGCCAGACACAGTAACAACAAAGTCTCCAATGGAGACGTTACTGGGCCCGCTCGAGCAAATCGATGATCAACGGGAGGGCCTTTACCTTTACCTTTATCTTGGGAGGATAACTGACCCAAAATCACATATATAGCAAGGGCTGAAACTGGGATTTAAGCCAAATAATGTGGCTTCATATCTGTGCTATGGTTTTACTAAACTAACCAGTAGTGAGGTGAATCTCTGCACATTTATTGATTTAGACAAGAAGAAGAATCATGTAACTAAAAAAAAAAAATCTATTGTTATTTTTAGCAGTGAGAAAACATCTTTGATATTAAAACATTAGTTAGATGCTGGGCAATTATAAACATCTCTTGCCATTTTTTTTGACTAAGAACGAAAGGAAAAACTATCACTCTCCTCTCTTCCCTTCTTACCTCTTTCTTATAGGCTTTTTCTTCAATCAGTTGTCTTGCATCAGAAATGCCCTTAATTTTAAACCATACAAACATTCCAGCAGTGGGATCATTCCATTCTGCCAAACCTACAAACAAGGGAATGTCTCATAAGCCATTTTTGACTAACTCGTAAATATTACATAGTGATAGAATAGCAGTAACTGTGAACTAGAAATTTTCAAGCAAGTTCCTGCAGTGATAACATCACTCTTATTAGTTTTGTTTTTTGGTCCCCACTGGCAGTGCTCAGGGTCTACTCCCAGATGGGTGCTTGGGGTTTGCTCCCAGTGGCACACAGGGTCCATGTGGTACCAGGGGCTTGACCTGGGTGTGCTGTGTGCACACACTCCTGCCCTCTGGGCCCTCTCTCTCTAGTCCCAACTGAGAGCATTTAAAATAGATTTAATTTTACAGACTAATGAAAATTGATGTTCTGAGTTTTTATTTCAACACAGGGAGGATAAAGCAGAAGAGAACTACTTGTAATTTACAATATTCATGTTGATGTCTCCAGGCAGTGAGGAGAGTGCCTGAGCTGTATTTTAATCAATCCTATCCATTAAGAAAAATTTTGGGGGGGTCACACCCGGCAATGTACAGGGGTTACCCCTGGCTTTGCACTCAGCAATTACTCCTGGTGGTGCTTGGGGAACCATATGGGATGCTGGGAATCGAACCTGGGTCAGCAGTGTGCAAGGCAAATGCCCTACCCACTGTGCTATAGCTCCAGCTCCACAATCAATCCTTTATCCTATCCATTCATCCATCTATCAATCAATTCTATCATATATGTACTTGTTTAGGAGTCTAGTGGATTAGAATTTTTATCAGAAAATAGCTGATTTTATAAAGAAGGACTTAAAATTCAAGTTTTCCAGGTGCATTTGTAGGCTTTATGTTCCACTTAAATGTTAAAATAGAAAAAATCACATTTGCCTTGGACGTGGACTACCTGGATTAACGTGGGACACTACTGGGTGTGGCCCCCCAAAACAAAACAAAAAAAAAAAAGAAAAATCAAGAAAGATGATTGTTTTGATTTAATTATCTAACTAAAAACAATGAAACAACCTGCTATTGATTCAAGTCTTCCTTAACTCCACTCTACAAAGAGATAGACTAGTACTCATCTAAAAGACAAATCTATTGTTTTCTTGGGTGTTTGGGCCACCCTGGTGGTGTTCAGGGCTTATCTTGGCTCTATGCTAAGGGATCATTTCTGGCAATGCTGTGGGGAGGGGTACTATATAGGATGCTGGGATTGAACCCAGGTCAGCTGCATGCAAGGTAAGTGCCTTACCTGCTGTACCAGGTGAGTCCTATTTTTACTGACTTACTAGGGAACAAAATCAACAATAAAAATTGATATTTCTGGGGATAGAGTGATAGTATAGTGGGTAGGGCGTTTGCCTTGTATGCGGCTGACCTGGATTCGATCCCCAGCATCTCATATGGTTCCCCAAGCATCGCCAGGAATGATTCATGAGTGCAGAGCCAGGAGTAACCCCTGTGCATTGCCGGGTGTGACCCAAAAAACAACACCAACAAAAATTGATATTTCTTTTTTTATATCAAATTCCTATTTAATGAAATAATTAAATCACTTTTTTTGTGGGAATTCATTTTGGACCAAACCCAGCAGTGCCCAGGTGCTCAGGGCATACTCCTGACTCTGTACTCAGGGATCACTCCTGGCAGGTTGGGGGGACCATATGTGGTACCGGGGCTTGAACCTGTGTCAGATGTGTGCAAGGCAAGTGCCCTACCTATTGGACTATCTCTCCAACCACTAACTGTCTTTAAGCCATACTGCAATCAAATAAGCAATAGATAATAATGACAAATAATGAGGATAGTGATTAGAAAGTAAATACTTTGCAATATGAGAAACACCTTAGATTTTTACAATTTTGTCATTAGTCTAGTTAGAAAAGAAATGTATTATATTTTTGACATTTCCTCTTTTATCTGGGACAAAATTCTGAGATAAGTCTAAAACCGTTTGTATTTAGTTGGTCTTTTGCATTAAATTATCACTGATAGATTTTTGGTTAATGATCTCTTTCAAAAGTCACATTTTTTGGGAGGGGGCTGTTGGATTACACCTGGTGGTACATGCCTAGGAGTTACTCCTGGCTCTGCACTCAAGAATTACTTCTGGCAGAGTTGGGGGATCATATGGAATACCTAGGATTGAGCCTGGGATGGCTGCCAAATGCCCTACCTATTGTACTATCGCACTTGCCCCCAAAATCAAAACTTTTTGATGCTGAGAGATAGAATTAGGTAGATTTTGAACTTCTTATATCTTGACAGGAAAGAGGTAGAGTGATAGTACAGTGGGTAGGGCTCTTGCCTTGCATGTGGCTGATCTGGGTTTGATCCCTCGCCATCCCATATGGTCCCCTGAGCCCATCAGGAATAATTCCTGAGTGCAAAGCCAGGAGTAATGTCTGAGCATCTCTGGGTGTGCCCCAAACCCCACAAACTTCTAATACATTGACAGGGTAATATTTTCATGTCAAGAATAGCCCTGGACTCTTGTTTGTTTCTTGCAGGATTAACACTCCTGTATAGTGCTCACAACCTACTTATAGTTGCTATTATTTCTCACATACCACTTAGCCACTTGTCTGCGGCTGCCAATAGTGCGTCCTTCTGGGTCCTGTAGAAGTCAGTAACCCTGGGAGAAGAAAACAATGAAATGGATGTGTTTAGTACATGACTTGAAGAAATTCAAAAACTCTGAAATCATCTATAAGAAAATGTATTCTAGCTTGACTGAAATATAAATAAGGCAGGGCAAAAACATGCTTATTTGACCTGTCTGATGGTAAACTTTAAAATACTGCAGCGGGGGCTGGAGCAATAGCACAGCGGGTAGGGCATTTGCCTTGCACATGGCTGACCTGGGTTCGATTCCCAGCATCCCATATGGTCTCCCAAGCACAGCCAGGTGTAATTCCTGAGAGCAGAGCCAGGAGTAACCCCTGTGCATCGCGGAGTGTGATCCAAAAAGAAAACAAACAAACAAACCAAACAAACAAAAAAACCCCAAAACCAAAAAACAAACAAACAAACAAAAAACCCAAAACCTAATAAATTACTGCAGCACTTCACCCCCCCCCTTTTTTTCGTTTTGGGGCCATAAGCATCAGTGCCTCAGAGCTTACTTCTGGATCTACTGTCAGGGTTCACTCCCGGTGGTTCTCGGAAGACTACCTGGGATACCGAGCATTGAACCTGGAGTTGCAGCATGCAAGGCAAGTCCTACCCACTGTACTATCACTTTGGCCCCTGCAGCAGAATTATTTGAGGTGTAAATTAATAGAGCAAAGCCCATTCCTTTATCAAATATGGAACCCCAAATACAATTCCACCACAAGTAGCGAAATCAATTTTTGTATTTATTCAGTTTCCCAGACTTACTCATTTGGCCGACCACCCCTTTTTCAGAAATAAAATTATCCAGCACCTTTCAGGAAATTGGCCTTCTTTGAGGAAGCAAACAAAAAGTGTTCTCCCAATCACACTGCAGGATACTACGGTAACCTCTGGATTTTTCTAGGACCGGGAATTTCCCACTTTGATGAAGAGTGGTCCAGATAATGATTTCCAGTTGCAGGGCAGGAGAACACTTGAGATCAAAGAAAATACTATTGACATGAATAATCTGGCTTGGGAATATAGGTATTACATTTCCCCCTTGTTTGTAAGTGACCTAGGATGTAGCACTGTTTGCATTATTAATTAATCGTGTGCACCAACAGAGGATTATTAGGTAAACTATATTCTCACTCATCTGTGTTTGATCCAGTTCCTCTCCCTCAGAGTTACTAATTATTAAATAAAATGTAGGTGTTTGATAAGCAACCCTCTAAATCAAGAAGTGAGTCCCAATCTGATAGACATTTCAGATTACCTTAAGTAGGCTACTATCAAAATGGACCTTGGATGCTCCTGAGAAGACTTTTTAGACTTTCTATTAAAACAAATGCACTTTTTGCTTCTAAAAAACTGTTCCTATTGTCTATCTTAGGGTACTTGGGAAGGAAGAATAAGAAATCAACACCCTATATTATACTTGGCTCCTATAATGTTCACAAACATTTATTCATTTAAATTTTTTTTTTTGCTTTTTGGGTCACAAACAGCGATGCACAGGGGTTACTCCTGGTTCATGTACTCAGAAATTACTTCTGGTGGTGCTCGGGGGACCATATGGAATGCTGGGAATCGAACCCAGGATGGCTGTGTGCAAGGCAAACGCCCTACCCGCTGTGCTATCTCTCTAACCCCTTTAATTTTTTTAATTTTATAAAGTAGTTCACAATATTTCATTACATTTGATATTCAGACACCAATCCCACCACCATTACAACTTCCCACCATCATAATTCAGATGTTCCCATTCTGAACCCCAATCCCAGCCCCAAAGCAGAACCCAAATAAATATATTTTATATTGTTTGTTATGAAAAACCGCTGAAAATGATACAAAAAAGTATCCTTAGAGGAAAGAGAGTGGAGGTTGTTGTATTTCACCTAGGGGCCATTAAACCCTTCAATAAGAGATCATTAACATGTTGTTTAAGGTTCAGCCTTAACAAATGCTTCAGTACCTGTCTATGTGAGCCAGGAAGCCCTCTTGACCCCACTGGTGGAGAAGCTCTGATACAAGAATCTGAAATAGATAAAACAATAGCAAATGTTACAGTTCATCCTTCAAAAAAAATTTTTTTTTGCCAAAACATTCTCAATCACATGTAAATAATCATGCATAATGATTTGTAACAAATGTAATTATTAACAATAACAAGCATTTATTCAGTACTCCGCTGTCTCCCTGAAATAATGGTACAACAGTAACATATTTTAGCCTATTTGGTTTTCATAATCCTATTTATCATTGTCAGGTAGTTTAAGTTTTGGGGATTTTTTCAATTGGTTTTGAGCCTCACCAGGTGATGCTCAGGGGTTACTTCTGGCTTTTCACTCAGGAATTACTCCTGGCAGTGCTTGAAGACCTTAAGGGGTGCTGATCGAACCCAGGTTGGCCGAATGCAAAGCAAACAGCCTCCCCACTGTACTATTGTTCTGGCTTCTTTTGCATTTTACTGACAAGGAAGCCAAAGCAGAAGAGCTATTTTGTTGTTTTGTTTGTTGGGCCATACACAGCAGTGCTTACATTCTGCTCTGCATTCAGGGCTCACTCCTGTTGGGGCGCATATGGGCTGTCGGGAATTGAACCCAAGTCTGCCTTGTGCAAGGTAAGTGCCCTACCCACAGTACTAGCACTCTGGGCCCAGAAAAGTGAACTTTCCTAAGGACACGTAGTTTGTCACAGAAATTTGATTTGAGTTAGGCTGGTCAGCTCCAGATCCATGTCTTTAATTAAGTATACAGTTACATAATATTTCAGTGGGAAATTTTAAAAAAATCAAAAATAGAAGTTCTCAATGTTATAAATGAATGGTTTGGTTGACAACAGATAGAAAAATTCCCCTTATGATAAAACATAAGGATACCTTTATTTATGGAATGCAGAATTTCAAACAAGTGTCCTAATTTGGGAGGGCACACCTGGTGGTCCTCAGGGGCTACTCCTGGGTCTGTGCTCAGAAGTGATTCTGTGTTGAGTTTGGGGGACCCTGTGTCGCCTGGAATTGAATTCAGGCTTCCTGCACCTCCGAGATGCAAAGCATGACCTCAGTCTGTTGAGCTGTCTCTCCAGACCACAGATGTCCTGATTTCATGCAGAGTTTTTATAAATTTATTAACGCATGTATGGTTCTTAGATAGCAATACCAGATTCAACATCTGAGATTTGGGTCTCAAGATTTCATTAGGGATGAATTCAGTAATTCTTCAAAGCTCGGGGGAAGCTTATATATCTTCCAAAATGAATGTTTATTTACTTCAATAAAAATACATTCCAGGGGCAGGAGCAATAGTACCACAGGTAGGGCTCTTGCCTTGCACACTACCAACTAGGGTTTGATTCTAGGCACCCCATATGGTCCTCTTGGTCTTCCAGTAGTAGTCCCTGAGCAAAGAACCTGGAGTAAGTCCTGAGTAACCTCTGGTGTGGATCAATCCCACCCTCTTCCCCTCTGCCCCCACCAATAGTACATTCCAACCGGTGTATTTAGGAGAATTTAGCACATTAAATGCAGCAAATGGCAGTTTGGAATCTTTGTTCTCTCGTCAGAGTTCAAGAAAACACCGCTTCAGTTAGATGACTGTTGCAAGCCCAGTTCTATTTTGTTCTGTTCAACAAAGTTTTTACAGATTTCCCGGGCTAGGTACTTGGGACAAAATCTAAATAAAGTATATTGACTCTCAAGGAGTTTGGTGTGAACAAAATAACACCAGGTTAATAAATTCTCATGTGCCTTTTATTTCTGAGTTACACCCCCGTGGCTAGAGTGATAACACAGCCGGAAGGCGTTTGCCTTGCAAGCCACCAGCCCGGCTGAGCTGGGTTCAATTCTTCTGCCCCTCTCGGAGAGCCCGGCAAGCTACTGAGAGTATCTCGCCCATACGGCAAAGCCTGGCAAGCTACCCATGATGTATTCAATATGCCAAACATAGTAACAAAAAGTCTCACAATGGCGATGTTACTGGGTCGCTGCTGCTGGAGCAAGTCAATGAACAATGAGAGGACAGTGCTTCAGTGCTTTTATTTCTAATGATTGCTTTTAGGGGCTTCCCAAGCAGTATTCATGAAGCTCCAGGGCCCCCCTCGGGGTGATTTTCTTAGTTCCCTGAGAGGGGCCTCGAAGTGTATAGGGTTACCTGTGATATCCTGATCCTGGCAATGCTCAGGGACCACGTGGTACTAGAGATTGAAGTGGGACTGGCTGACTGTGAGGCTCTTGCATTTCTTTGGCTCCTCATGAGCCTTTTAGAGTAAACAGCGACTGTGTCTGTCTAAGTTAGCTTGTACTGGACATCTCCATTGGTTATTTCTCTCTCCATTGGCTGCCTTCACTCAGTCTTTTTAAAAAATTTTAATTTTTATAGAGTTGTTCATGGCTGGAGTGATAGCACAGCGGTAGGGCATTTGCTGGGTTTGATTCTTCAGCCCCTCTCGGAGAGCCTGGTAAGCTACCAAGAGTATCTCGCCCACATGGCAAAGCCTGGCAAGCTACCTGTGACGTATTCAATATGCCAAACACAGTAACAACAAGTCTCATAATGGAGACGTTATTGGGCCTGCTCAAGCAAATTGATGAACAACGGGAGAACCTGCTACAGTGCTACATAGAGTTGTTCACAATAATTTATTACATTCAATATTCCAACACCAGTCCCACCACCATTACACCTCGTCACCACCATTATTTCAAATTTTCCCACTAACACCCACACCTGCCCTGAAGGCAGATACGAAGTAATTTGTTTGGATTCTAAATAATATATTTTGCTTGTTATGAATCACGGTCCTCCCGTTGTTCATCGATTTGCTCGAGCGGGCCCAGTAATGTCTCCATCATGAGACTTGTTACTGTGTTTGGCATATCGAATGTGTCACGGGTAGCTTGCCAGGCTTTGCCATGAGGGTGAGATACTCTCGGTAGTTTGCCGGGCTCTCCGAGGGGCGGAGGAATCGAACTCCGGTCGGCCATGTTGGCCGCTTGTAAGGCAAACGCCCTACCGCTGTGCTATTGCTCCAGCCCTTGTTATGAATGATCCTCTAAAAATGATCCAAAAAAGTTTCCTTAGACGAAAGTGTGTAAAGATTATTTTATCTTACCCTGGAGACATTAAGTTTTTATTTAAGAGATTACTAACATGTTGTTACAGGTTGAGCTTTGTGTGTAATATATACATATGTATATACATTATATATAATATATATATTTTTTAATCAAGATTGGTTGCCTTCTACTTTAACCCTTCACTCAGTCTTTTTTTGACAACATCTACTTTCTATTCTGATCTGATAAAGCAGATGAATGTCCTCCGACTTCCTCAATTGTCCTTACCTGTGAAAAAGTGCTGCTGTGTACTGTTGACACTTGAGTGTGTAAAATAATTCTTTCTATTAAGGGTTTTGGGCCAGTTAGAAACCCTACTCTCAACCTACATGAAAAAAAAAAAAGAGGCATTATCCAATCCTGCATTAACAATTGACTATAGTTCACCTTACTGATTTCATTAAGAGGGTGGTTTACAGAAGACAGTGAACCTAAACAATGAAAACACGCTTAAAAAAGGAACTGTACTTAATTTGAAAAGCAAATTAAAATTTAGATGATGGGCCAGAGCCATTGTGCAGTGGACAGGGTGTTAGCCTTACATCTGGCCGACTCAGGTTCGATCCTGGCACCCCATATGGTCCCCTGAGTATCATCAGGATTAATTCCTGAGTGCAGAGCCAGGAGTAACCCCTGAACATAGCTGGGTATGACACAAAAAAGACACACAAAAATTTTTAGACAGTTAAAATACATCAGTCTGAACACATCTTGCTAACTGTTCTTCATGTGCGAAACCAGAAAGCTAACCAGCCTCTCTATGAGCTCAAGCTACCTTGGAGTACTTGAAGGCAGACGAGACGTAGTAATCATGTTAATAATTAAACCCTTGTCTGAAGCGATGCAAGATAAACAAACTAAATGACTATAATGCCAGACCACAAATCAACAACACTGAAATCATGAGACCCAAACTTAATAACCAAACTTAAAACAGAGTCTCTCTAGAGGGCAGGCTGGAGATGAAAATGTGGGTAGGAGAGGAAAACTGGGGACCCTGGTGCCGGGCTCAGGGCTGGAACGTTGTATGTCTATTTTTTTTCTTTTTGGGTGATACACAGGAGTCACTCCTGGCTCATGCACGCAGGAATTACTCCTGGCAGTGCTCGTGGGACCACATGGGATGCTGGAAATCGAACCTGGGTGGGCCGTGTGCAAGGCAAATGCCCTATCCGCTGTACTATCACTTCAGGTTCAGGTTCGATCATTGGAACATAGTATGTCTAAAACCCAACTATGAATAACTTTGTAAATCACGTGCTTTAATAAAATAACATTTAAAAGAATGACTATAACAGTTTGGAATAATAGATATTGAGGATTTGTCCCTCCTGTCCCCTTCTCCCCTCCTCCCCGCCCCCCCACCCAGGGCCATTTAGCCTTAAATTAGAACAGAACTTACCCAGAGGAGAGGACTTTTGAAAGTGAGTCAGCCCTGATGACTCGGCCATCAGTGTCCATTGAAAGAAATGTTGGCACCCACGGCTGAAACAAACAAAACAAAACTATTGGTTTGAGAAGTCGCTGTTAGCCACTGTGATTTGTGTAGGGAATGGAGAGAAAGTGGATTTGGATAATAGTGGCACAAGCACCTGTTGCCTTTAAAATTAAACCAGAAACAGAAAGATGCTCTTTCATGTGTATTTGCCTCTTTTCTGTCCACACACACACACACACACACACACACACACACACACACACAGAGGTTTTCTGTTTTACTCAAGATAGCATGATTAAGGAATCATGGGGGGATATATCAAATTGAATTGACAGAAATCTCAGACAAGCTCTTCTTGCCTCAAGGGATGAAATCCAAGATTGACAGATTTAGGAGGAAGGAATCAAGGAATACTAGATTAGACAAAATCAGAATGAAGAGCATCAGGATAATTTGGAGTAGAGGCTCCCAAGCTTATTTGGCTACCACCCCTTTTATAGAAAACAATCACTCCATTGTGCAAGCCCTCCTTTGCTCCATCTAAAACCTATATGTACATGATCTAAGTACATGATCAAACAATGGCCCTCAACTGTGCTCCAGGCTACCACCACCCCCTTAGCTCCCTGAATAAGTTCAGCGCTTCCTGAGGGTTGGCACTGCCCACCTTGAGAAACACTGGTTTAGGGAGACAACACAGGTCCTTTAACAATAACTGTCACTGCCACTGTCCTCTTGTTCATCAATTTGCTTGAGCGGGCCCAGTAACACTGTGAGACTTATAATAATTAAAAAAAACATTATGAGAATTGTTACTGTGTTTAGCACATCGAATACGTCATGGGTAGCTTGCCAGGCTTTGCCATGGGGCGAGATACTCTTGGTAGCTTGCTGGGCTCTCTGAGAGGGGCGGAGGAATTGAACTCTGGCCGGCCATGTAGGCTGCGTGCAAGGCAAATGCCCTACTGCTGTGCTATCGCTCCAGTCCAAACAGTTACAGCCCCTTTCTCCTTCATCTTGAATACAACTTCCAGATTCTTTCCCCAAACATGCTTCCAGTAAGCCATGACTAAGAGGCCGAAGCTGACACTCAGGAGGAAACCTATTTCACCCTCATATGATAATGACAGAGTAATGAAAGAGGATTTGAGGTTTCAACAAGATTCACCCTGTTTGCTCACAGGCATGGTTCGGACAAACAGCTACGGTTCTAGAGGCAAGTTATGGAGAGACCAGAAATGCCACAAGTGGATAGTACCTATGGAACTAAAGACTTCACCATGATAAAGACTTGATAAAACTGCAAGACTAGCCTGAAATAATAACTAATTAATACTCATTTGTTTAAATTTTTCTAATTTTAATTTTCAGGCCACACCTGGTTCTGCTCTCAGAAATAATTCCTAAGCTTGGGGAACCATATGGAATGGCAGAAATCAAACTTAGGTCAGGACATGCAAGATAAGTGCCCTACCCACTACACTATAGCTCTAGGCCCTCATTTGTTTAATTTTGAATGCATTAAATTGGACAAACTGGCAGGCTACCGAATGTAACCTGCTCACATGGCAGAGTCTGGCAAACTCCCCGTGGTGTACCCAATGTGCCAAATACCAGTAACAATGATGGGTCTCATTCTCCTAACCCTGAAAGAGCCTTGAATATGGCACTTTTTAAAAAAATAACCTCAGGGCTAGGACGAAGGAGACGTTACTGGGGCCTGCTCGAGGAATCAACGAATAACAGGATGGTTGTGATCGTGATCGTGAATGCAAAGGTGGACCAGCAGTTAGGCCAAAATCAGCTGCGGTGCAATCATTTAACAATAATTCATCTTCCACAATGAGGTAGTTCACATAGTCACTTACCTTATTAAACTGGAGAAAATAGTAGGGGTCATCTTCGATGATGAGAAAGTCATATTTTTGTGCAAGCTGAAAAAGGTCAAAATAGATTATTTGTACCTTAAGAGCTATCCAGAATATTGGGACTCCTCATTCTTTGTACTCATTCATATGACCACTTGGTTCTTTCTTTTTTTTTCTTTTTGGGTCATACCCGGTGATGCACAGGGGTTACTCCTGGCTCTGCACTCAGGAGTTACTCCTGGAAGTGCTCAGGGGACCATATGGGATGCTGGGAATTGAATCCAGGCTGGCCATGTGCAAGGCAAACGCCCTACCTGCTGTGCTATCTTTCCAACCCTGACCACTTGGTTCTTTAAGAAGCCAGTGAGTATGGGTTGTCTTTGACATTGAGGATAAAGAGACCATAGGCACTAAAGTCTCTGGTTCTTGTGGAAACAGCAGGAAAAAGATATGACATAAGCCAGTCATGAACAGAAGAAACATGAAATGGGGTGCGATGTCTAGGCTAAGCAGAATATGAGACAGTGACAGGGTAGAATAGCTGTTTGGGTTGGACTCACTGGACGTTGGACTCAATGAGGACTCATTTTGACCAGGTAACATGAGAATTCAGATTGACAGTAAGAAGGCTCTTGTACAAATACCAGGGGAGAAATATTCTCTATTGAGGGACAATTAATGAAAAAAAATATGTCAGAGAGACAGAAAAATGGGCCAGTGTGGCTGCAGCAGAACTGATAATAAGGCCTGAGGATAGACTACCAGGTCCCACAGCTCTACAAGGCAGATATAAATAGGAGAACTTTTTCTTCTAGTTTTTTTTTTTTTTTTTTTTTTTTTTTTTTTTGGTTTTTGGGCCACAACCACTCATGTGTTGTTACTCCTGACTTTGCACTCAGAATCACTCCTAAAGGGCTTGGAGGACCATAGGTAGGGGACGCTGGGGATAGGTCGGCCTGGGTTCGGCAAGCGCCTTACTCGCTGTACTATTCAATAAGAGGATTTCTTAACTAGCTTTAAATTTACGTGTCAGTCAACAAAAGCTCAGACTCACAATGGTCTGGAGATGGGATGGTTAGTTATTCAGAGTGAAATGCATCAGGGACCCAGAGGAAAATGCAGGTAAGAGAGAAAGGTGGCGACTGAGAAGACAGATAATGAGGATGGTAGATTTGGGTAAATTTGGTGGTGGATTCCACAGGATGAATGAGCTAGAGGGAGAGACTGGGGAAGAAGAGGTGAAAATGAAGAATAGAAGATAACTGGAAAGTGTGAGTGGTGTTTTTGGAGTGCGACTGGACACAATAAAGAATTCTGTTTGGCCCTGTGGAGTCTGAATGTGTGTTCCGCATTTATGTGGGATGTTGGACACAGAAGTCTGGAGTTGATGGGAAGGCAGTTTCCAACAAAGAATGGAGTTTACAGCCCTGAGGAGGCTGATTAGGGAGTGGGTGTAAGTTCAGCTCAGAGCCCAGGAGTGTGTGAACTAAGAATAAAACATATTTTTGGACTGGAGCGATAGTACAGTGGGTAGGGTGTTTGTCTTGCACATGGCCAACCCAGGTCTGATCCCCAGCATCTTATATGTTCCCCTGAGCACTGCCAAGAGTAATTTCTGAGTGCAGAGCCTGGGGTAACCTCTGTGCATCACCAGGTGTGACCCAAAAAGCAAAACAAAACAAAAAACTATATTTTGAAAAAGAATTACATATGTAGTTATTTAAAACGAATTGCCTAAATTCTTATGTTCCCACACCTGATTAAATTCTATGTTTTTTTAAACATGGGCTTATTACTTATTGGTACTTATTTAAAAACGGCTGTTTGTAGGAGCTGGCTGGGTTGTTCAATAGTGGAATATACACTTTGCATTTATAAGACATTGGCCTCTATTCCTGCTACTCTGTCCTACCCCAGTAAAAAAGGCCATTTATAGTGAAAAGCTAGGCATCTCTATCAGGGCCATGAAAGATATTTTACAAAATAAGGGCGCATTCCTCTCATATTTTTCAAATAGTTCTGTATAGCTCAGTATGTGTTCGCTGCTTTAAAAAATGTTTCTATTTAAAAACACAAGCACAGGTACCTAAAAGAGATTTTGCAAAAGATAAAGAAGCATGCTTCCCCTCCCCCCAGTTTTTGGGTCACACCCAGTAGTGTGACCCAGCATTCACTCACTCACTGACTCTGCACTCACGGATCACATCTGATAAGGCTCCAAGGCTGGGGGCAGGGAGGGCACATGAAGTGCCCGGGAGTGAACCCTGGTCAGTGAACCATATGCCAGGCAAGTGTCCAACCTTTGCCCCATGCTTCTTGTTTATTTTTTTAAAATAAGTTTTACTGGATCACCGTGAGATACAATAACAAACTTGCCTGATTACGTTTCAGTCACACAATGCTGGAGCACCCATCCCTCCACCAGTGCACATTTTCCACCACCATTGTTCCCAATATCCCTCCCGACACCCCCACCACACCCCACCCCCTGCCTTTGTAGCAGGTACAATCCTTCTTACTCTCTAATTTTGGCCCCATGCTTCTTGTTTTTAAAGAATTCCTTTGCAATCTTACATGATGAGGAGGAGAAAAAGAGGAAAAAAATTTGAAACTGCAGATACAGTAATTAAAGTCAAATGGTTCTAATATTTTATAGCCTTGTTAAGAGATTACCAATGCAAGAATGTGATTTATTTTCAGTTTTTTTTGCTGCCAGATGTTGAAACCAGGGTCTCATACATGCAAAGTATGTACTCTACCACTGAATTATATTTCTGGCCAAGAGTCATAATTATTTATTCATTTAATCTTTTGGTTTTGGGGGCATACCTGGTGATGCTCAGGGGTTACTTCTGGCTCTCTGCTCAGGGATCACTCCTGGTAGCTCAAGGGACAAACTTGGGGTGGTCATGTGCAAGGCTGTACCTACTGTGCTACTGCTCTTCCCAAATCATATATATATGATAAATATATATTTTATAAAAAAATCAATTACAGGTAAAACCTGATAATTAGCAAAGGATTAGTAATTACTTGTTACGACCCTTTGCATAGGGTCCTAACATGAATTTTTTTCACTGAAAAATAATCTTCCTCGAAAGCAAGAGGCTAGGGTCTGGAGTGATAGTACAGTGGGAAAGGTGGCTGATGCGGGTTCGATTCCTGGCATTCCATATGGTCCCCTGAGCACTCCCAGGAATAATTCCTGAGTGCAGAGCCAGGAGTAACTCCTGAGCATAAGTAAGGAAACTTTCAGAGAACTCTTTTGACAAGACAAAAAAGAGACAAGAGGATAATGCCACATTGCATAATCTTTACCTCATAGATTTCCTTTTTGCGGTTAACTGTGAAAGAGTCTCCAGTAGGGTTGTTGCCATTTGGGACTGTATACAGAAATTTGGGGGTGTTTTTGTTGGGATTCCTGGCATCTTCCGGCTTCCATTTGGAAAGTACTTCTTTGAGGGACTCTGGAATAATCCCCTGTTTGTCACTGGCGACATTAATAAAGTTGCAACCTAGCGGTTGTAGCTATTGAGCACATGGAAGAAAGCAAGTCCAAGATTCAAACATGAGTTCAAAATATAAGCACCATTGGTTCTTCAACCTTGGAGAATGTTAGCATTTACACCCTTCAACATGGAAAACTGCACTCAGCTCTCTTTTCTGTAGGGCTGAGGATGTATGTTGTAATTCTGGTGCTGTCCTGCATGCTATGTGGCTCCTACATGTCAGGATTGGTGCTATATGTTGCTCTGGCCCCTGCAGTTTGAGGGATTGAAGTTCCAAGTAGAAACTTACCAAGGAGTGTTTAAGTATTTCGATAATTTACCAAATACTAAGGCTGAACTAGAAAGTAGCTGCCTTGTTTACAGACATATTTTTTACATATATATATGTTTATATATTTATATATTTGGATATATATGTATATACATATTTAGAGTGGAATCTTATTCTTGGATGAACAAAATGGTAAGACATTATTCAAGAAAAATCAAGAGTGGGGTGAGGTTCTCAGAAAAAAAATTTCACACTTTTCTTTTGCAGTTAAATATAAAATGATGCACCCAGGAAGGAATAATCCAGACCCTAGCTCTAAAACATTTGAAAGATTTAGATTTTAAAAGTCTAGTCACTATAAGCAAAATAAGTCACCATCAGACCATAAAATAGACATACATTGCTTTTCAGCATATTTCTTCATAGCCTGGCATGTGGTTCCGTTTGGGTAATAGACACCGTGTGTGTGTGTGTGTGTGTGTGTGTGTGTGTGCATGTGTGTGTGTGCATATCTTAATAGACAAAATTTTATATTTATAGACAGAATATCTGTAAGTCTTAAGTATCTATGAAAATAATAAAAATTAGAATCTTATTCTTTTTTTGGTTTTTGGGCAACATCTGATGATGCTCAGGGGTTACTTCAGGCTCTGCACTCAGGAATTACTCCTGGAGGTGCTTGGGGGACCATGTGAGATGCTGGGGATCAAACGCAGCTTGACCATGTGCAAGGCAAATACCCTATTCACCATATAATCGCTTTGGCCCCTAGAATCTAATTCTTAAAAAAAAGTTACTTTACTTAAGTTTTAAAAATTGTTGTAAAATACACATATCAAAAACTCACTTTTTAAAAAGGTATGATTCAGTGACAATTATATTCACAATGTGTACATATATAATCACTATCAAATTTATCAAGTCATTATTAAATTTTTAAGATACTTAATGATCTCAAATAATCTCTGTATTTATTAAGGGATACTTCCCATTCTGTTCTGCTGTAACCTCAAATCTGTTTCTATAAATTTGTCTCTAAGAATCCTATTCTAATATAGATAAGATCCTACAGCTTTTCTCCTTTTGTATCTGATTTCTTTCATTTGGCCTCATGATGTTTTTTGGCAGGGCAGGCACACCCAGAAGTGCACAAGACTTACTCCTGGCTCTATGCTCAGAGATAATGCCTGGTGAAACTGGGGGCATGAGGAGAGTGTGTGTGTGTGACCATATGTGGTACTAAAAATAGAACCCAGATAGGCTGCATGTCAAGCAAGCACCTACCCACTGTAGTATCTTTCTAGTCTCTGGCCTAGTGTTTATACAGTTTATCCATTCTGTAGCATTTATCTGAACTTTGATCATTTTTATGGCCAAATAATATTCCATTGTGTGCATAGACCACATTTTGTTTGTTTATCTGTTCATTTGCTAATGAATACTTGATTTGCTGCTACCTTTTGGCTCTGGTGAATAATGCTGCAATAAACACCTGTCCTACTATTTAAGGCTAGGTTTTCAATTCTTTTTAAATATATGCTAGGATTGGAATTGATGATTCATATGCAAATTCTGTTTAATATTTGGAGGAACTGACAAAATATTCTTTATTATTTTACATTTTGTTATTATTATTTTTTTAGCCATTTCCAGTGGTGCTTAGGGCTTAATCCTGGCTCAGTGCTGAGGGATCACTCCTGGCAGTCTTGAAGGATCATATGGGGTGCTGGAGATTAAAGTTGGGGTAGCCACATGCAAGTAAAATGGCCTACCCACCATTGCTTCAGCCCCTGAATTTATGCCTGTAGTGTACAGGGTTTCAAGTTCTCACTTTTCACCAATAATTGTGTTTTTATTAATTAGAAAATAATAATCATGGTGCCAGAGCAATAGTACAGCAGGTAGGGGCCTTGCCTTGCATGTGTCTATCCCAGGTTAGATCCCCAGATCTCCATATGGTCCCCTAAGCTTGCCAGGAGTGATCTCTGAACTCAGAGCCAAAAGTAAGCCCTAAGCACCACTGGGGCTGGCTCAAATCCTCAACCCCCCACCCCCACCAAAGAATACTCATCCTATTATGTAAATAGTTGTATGTCCCTATGACTTTGCTTTCTCTTTGGCCATACCTGGCAATGCCCAGGAGTTATCCCTGGCTTTGCACTCAAAAATTACTCCTGTAGGTAATCAGGGGACCCTATGGGATGCTGGGATTGAACCCAGGTCGGCTGCATGCAAGGTAAATTCCCCAGCCACTGTACTATTGCTCTCTCCCCTTCAGCATCTTTTTATGGCCTTTGGGCAATTTGTATATCTTTTTTGGATAAATGTACATTCAAATCTTTCTTTTTTAACTAAAAATATTTGGATGACAGGAAAAGTTTCCTAAGCAGTGCTCATGGGGTTGTGGGGTCATTCTCTGTGATCCTTGGGTAACTATGTGAGGGCCTAAGGATGTAACCTGTCATTTCACCATCTTTAAAACGTACTTTGATGCTCACAGTTTCAAAGTTTTGATGAAATCTTGTTTACCTATTATAGCCATGGCTGTGTTTTGATGTCATATCTAAAAATTTGGTGTCAGCTTCAAGATCATGAGGATATGCCTTTCTGTTTTATTCTAAGAGTTTATAATCTTTGGTTTTGTTTTTGACTTATCTTGACCTAAAGTTTTATATGGTGCAAATGGCTCAATTCTTTCTTTTGCATGTGGAAATCTAGTTGTCCCAGAACCATTTGCTGTGAAGTAGTTTAGATGTCCTTTTTGCAACCAGTTAGCCACAGAAAAATATGTTACCTTTTGGACCCCCAATTCTCTTCCATTGGTCCATGTCCTTTCTTATATAACTACCACACCGTTTTGATTACCATAACTTTGTGGTTCATTTTGAAGCTGGGAAGTGAGCCCTCTTTGTTGTTGTTTTACCAGGTTGTTCTGGCTATTGGGATTTCTGCCAATTTCATGTTTTTGAAGACTGGATTTTCTATTTCTGAAAAGCTGCAGGATTTTTGTAGAGATTTCTTTGGTGGTATTGATATCTTAATACTGTCACTGTCACTGTCCTCCCGTTGTTCATCAATTTGTTCGAGCGGGCCCAGTAATGTCTCCATTGTGAGACTTTGTTGTTACTGTGTTTGGCATATCAAATACATCACGGGTAGCTTGCCAGGCCTTACCGTGTGGGCGAGATACTCTCGGTAGCTTGCCGGGCTCTCCAAGAGAGGCAGAGGAATTGAACTCGGGTCGACCATGTTGCCTGCGTGCAAGGCGAATGCCTTACCTGCCGTGCTATAGCTCCAGCTAATCTTAATACAATTAACTAAAAAAAAAAGGGGGAGGGTTGGAGTGATAGCACAGCGGGTCGGGTGTTTGCCTTGCATGCAGCCAACATGACCGACACAGGATCGATTACCAGCACCCCATATCATCCTCTGAGCACCGCCAGGAGCAATTCCTGAGTGCATGAGCCAGGAGTAACCCCTGAGTATCGCCGGGTATGACCCAAAAAGCAAAAAAAAAAAATACTATTAACTAATAATAATAAACTAAACTAAATAATGAACATGGCCGACCCGAGTTCGATTCCTCCGCCCCTCTCGGAGAGCCCGGCATGCTACCGAGAGTATCTCGCCCTGACAAGCTCCCCGTGACGTATTCAATATGCCAAACACAGTAACAACAAAGTCTCCAATGGAGACATTACTGGGCCCGCTCGAGCAAATCGATGATCAACGGGAGGGCCTTTACTTTACTTTACTTTTAAATAATGAATATGTGAAATAGCTGATGTCTCCACACTTATTTGGGTCTTCTTGAATTTCTTTCAATAATTTTATTTTGTTTTGTCTTTGGGTTTTGGGATATCCCTGGCGGTACTCAGGGCCTATTCCTGGGTCTACTCTCAGGGATCACTCCTATTGGGGCTCAGGGGACCATATGAGCTGATAGGGATCAAACCTGGGTTGGCCATGTGCGAGGTAAGTGCCCTGCCTGCTGTACTATCCCTATGGCCTGTTGGTGTGTATGTTTTGGACCACACACAGTGGTGTTCAGTTTACTCCTGGCTTTGTGCCCAGAGATCACTCCTGACAAAGCTTGGGGGTCCTGCATGGAGTGCTGAGATTGAAACTGGGGTGACTGTATGCAAGGCAAGCACCCTACCTGCTGTACTATCTCTCTAGCCTTTCTGCACCCTGGTTTATAATTTTTAATTTGCAAGGCTTTCACTGTTTTTGTTATATTTATTCTCAGATGTATTATCCTTTGGATGAATTAGAAATTGAATTGTTTCTTAATTTCTTTATAAAAGTGTTCACAGGAAAAAGCAATCCCTAAAAAATTATGCTGATTGCAGGCTTTGGGGGTTGGGACGGAATAATTTGAAATATGGTGGTGGGAAGGTGTAATGGTGGTGGGATTGGGGTTGGAATATTGAATGTAATCAATTATTGTGAACAACTTTATAAAAATAAAATAAAATTTAAAATATCACTCCAGTATTGTACCTATTTAAGAATATTAACAGAATACTCCTTTTTTCTAAAACTAGTTAATGCTTAAAAAATATCCATAAAGGCCAATTCAATAGTGTATGAGGTCATTTCATTCAATTTTCCTATTCTAAACTACACTTATTTTTTCAATATTTGTTAGGTAAAAATCAATGATAATGTTGAATACTCGAAGTGAGAGGCAATGCTTTACTTTTTTAAGGACACAGGTAGAGCTGATGGCTAGAAAATTGTTACACTGAATTGAAAGTTTTCCATGTGATTTCCTTACTCTGGTCCTGGTTTTATCAACATAAGGATGTGTTCAAATAAAATCCTTATAACTCAGATATGATTGAGGCAATGTTTAAGTTCCTATTGTGTCACCATTTCTTTTGGGGAAATATCCAGAGTTCCTATAACCATTCTCAACATGCTGTGGTTTCCAGTTCTCTGTTCATACTAATCTCTCTTCGCTAGCCTTGTTCCAGTGTGGACCTTGTATTTGCCCCCAAACAAACTCCCAGTGATGTGTTCTGAGCTGCACAGCAGAGACAGATGATGAAATTTGTTATTCTGGATATTATAGCCCCATTAATTTAATGCTGGAATGCAAAGTCCTAATTATAACATTAGTTTACAGCTAAGTTAAATTGGTACTTAATATGTAGACAGATGATAATAAAAGATGGTAATGAAAAAATAAAAAATTTGTAAATTAAGTCACATTTCAAGTGGATATTAAAAAAACTGGACATGATTAAAAGTATGTGTTAGCAATTATCATTCTGTAAAGAGAAATACATAAAGCAGAAGATTCGCTTACTATGTTTCACATCTATAATTAAAGCTTCTCCTAGTCACAGATGAAAGGTACTATGTTATTTTCAGGGACAGATTCTAGAGGTGCAATGATTGCTTCTTCTTTGTTATAAGAGAGGTGCTTTTGGTGAAAATGTGTACTCACAGCTTGAAGTGTTCCTGAATAAATTGGTTCATTGTAGAGGATGTTATCTCCAGGGTTAACCATCATTTCAAACATCTAATGAAAGAAGCATAGATTAGTTTAGCCAGTACGAGCATGCTTTGTTGGACTGTACTTCCCTCTGTTCATTGCACTTTGCAAACACTATAAATTTTTGGAAATTGAAGGCTACCCCGCTCCCAAAAAATCCATTAGCGGCAGCTCCCGGCAGCACTTGCTCACTTTGCATTTCTGTGTCATATGTTGTTATTCTCACAGTCTTTCAAACGTTTTCATGATGCTCTTGTCTTTTGAAGTAATCTGCTGTGATCAGTGATCTTTGATGTAACTAATGTCATTGTTTTGGGGTACCTGGACTATGCCCATAGAAAGTGGGGAAATTAGTGTTCAGTGTTGTCTCACTTTTCCACATGCTGTCATCTCCACATTGCCTTCCTATTCCCAGACCTATTTTCTGAGACAATGATACGGAAATTAGACCAATAAGTAGCCCTGCAGTGGCCTTAGAAGACTCAGGAGAAAGAAAGAGGTATGTCTCATTTGATATCAAAAACTAGGAATGATTAAACAGTGACGAAGGCATTTAAAAAACAGGGATCACATCCAGATCTCCAGAGCTACTCCTGACTTAGCGCTCAGAGGTCACTGCTCTGACCATGGGGTGCTGGAGATCCCTCAATGTGTGCCAAAATCCTGTGTACCATCCTTTTCAATTCTCTCTCCAGGGTAAGAAAGGCAGTTTGGAAGCTGAAATAAACCAAAATCTGGGCCACACAATCCCCTAAGATATAAATGCAGAGAAAGAGTCCTTGAAGGAAATTAAAAATCGTTCTCCATAGAATGTCTGACTGATAAGAACGTGAGACTATGGGGCAGGAGGGAGATAGCATAGCAGGTATGGTATATGCCTTGTATGAGGCTAACCCTGGTTTGATCCCAGCATCCCATATGGTCCTCCAAGCACCTCCAGGAGTGATCCCTGAGTGCAGAGCCAGGAGTAATCCCTGAATATCACAAATCAACCCCCCACTCACACCCTCAAAGAAAAAGAAAGTGAGAAAGCTGTGGGCCAATACAGGAAAGTGTGAGTGGTCTGGCTAGAAGCACTACTTACACCAGAGCCTTATCCAGGGCAAGACCCAACCTCTCTTCAATTCTCTGTAGGTGGAGAGGTGAGAAAACTGCAGAAGGAAAGTTTGAAGCCAGCAGGGAGTGATCCGTGAGGTCCAAGTAGAGAAATCAACACCATAGCATGAAAGTACAAGGTAAATCAGTAAGTGATGGAGAAGCTGCAGCAAATTCTCTGGAAGCCCATTTATCTAAGATCTCTGATGAAAGTGGCTACACAAAGCAACAGATTTTCACCAAAGACCAAACTAGTCTTCGATTGGAAATATTTCACTGAGAATTTTCCTAGCTAGAGAGAAGTTAATGCTTGGATTCAAAGCTTCAGAGGACAGACTGACTTTTTTTTTTCTTTTTGGGTCACACCCAGCAGGAGTTACTCGTGGCAGTACTTGGGGGACCGAATGGGATGCTGGGAATCGAACCCAGCTCAGCCGTGTGCAAGGCAAATGCCCTACCCACTGTACTATAGCTCCAGCCAGACTGACTTTCTTTTGAGGGCCTACTGTAACTTGTTACTTCAAGCTGAAATGAACTGTCTTTTCCATTCTGAAATCCCTAGGGCCCTTAGGTGTCCTCTGCCTGTATATATAACAGCAAAGTTGGGTGCCAGCATATCACTTTATAATGTAAAAAATTACATTACATAAAAAATTACATAAAAAATTGCTGATTATTTTAAGCCCATTATTGAGAACTACTGCTCAGAAGAAGATTCCTTTCAAAATGCTTCTTCTCATGGACATGTGAAGAGTGATGGAAGGGATAAGGAGAGTAATATTATTTCTTTTTTTTTGAGGGGAGCACATCTGGCTGTGTTCAGAGAATATTCCTGGCTCTGCACTCAGGGATCATTCCTGGCGGAATTAGGAGATCATATAGGGTGCTGGGGAATCAGGCTCAGCTTGGCTGCATGCAGGGCAAGCAGTACTATCTCTCCAGCCCCAGTAAGTAATATTATTTCTTGATTGCTGCCCAATAATAGGATCCATTCTGCTCCCCATCAGGAATCATTTCAATGTTAAAGTCGTTATTTGAGACAAAACACTTTGTGAGGCAACAGCTGCCCAAAGGAGGGATCTTGGCTGGATCTGGGCAGAGTCAATTGAGAGCCTTCAGCAAAGGATTCACCATGAGTGATGCCATGAAGAATACATGTAATCCTAAGAGGTCAAAATATCAGCAGGGGTTCGGAAGAAGCTGATTCCAGTGATCACGATGACTGGGAGATCGGGCCTGAAATTACAGATGAAGTGGAAATAACAAGAAAATTAAGGGGGAAACTTGAAGAGGTGACTGAAATCTCATCTTACCTTCATGGCTTTTGGGAGAGGCAGATATTGATCAAATATAGCAGAGATAGAGATATAAACAGTGATCACATGATTCATTTCAGAAAAATCAAACTGGCGAATGGCCTTTTAGTCTCCTTTTGTAGTTTGGAAAAGACAGAAGAGAGAAGACCAATAACTCATGAAACAAGATCCTCTTGTGGTTAAGTAAGGTATCAGGTCATTGTATTCACAAATTCCATTCCCCCCCTACCTGCAAGTGTGAGGCAAGTGCTGTCACTGAGCCACATTTCTGGCTTAAAACATCTTTGATTCTTAGTGTGGGGATGCCTTTCCTTTCAGTCTTACCTTGCAAAGGCCATCTTGGCTGCCATTTGTGATACAAATGTCCATTTGTCCTTCATTGGCTGGATAATTGACAGTGGGAGGATTATGCAATTTTATTTGTAATGCTTTGATCCAGGATAATAGCTCTGGGATGCTAAAGCATAAAATATATTTCAATTTATGATAGTTAAAATCATAGTAGTAGACAGGAACTAAATAGTAGCTTTTCACCAAGAACTTTATCAACAAATGATTTTTACCAATATAAATATAAATATGCTTACTTAAAAGACAAGGCAACAGTTCTCATGGTTAAGAAAACTTACATAAACTCAATCCGCTAGTGATTTTTTTTGGGGAGTGGGGGGAGGTTTGGGCCATACTTGGCTCCACACTCAGGAATTACTCTTGGCAGTGTTTAGGGGACCATATGTGAAGCCAGGAACTGAACTTGGGTTGACCATGGCAACGGTTCTACCCACTGTACTATCACTCCTTCAACTGGCTAGTGATTAAACAATCTGAGATTTAATATGCATCTTTTATATTCCAATCCCTATAGGCCTTCTTTAACACTGTGTATTCAATTCCCTGTTCTCCTTTGGAAATGTTCCATAGACTATCAATTTTTTTTTTAAAAAAAGTTCTTTGTGTCATGAAAAGAAAAGCATATGCATATATTTCATATAAACTATCTATTACATGGATTATGCCACTATATACACTTTTCAATTGTGGTGCAACAAAGGCTTTACTAAAGCAGAATGTATAGACAACAGAAATGTCTATACAAATTCTTCTTCATCAAAAGAAAACCATCAAGAGAAAAATCTTTAGGTATGTGTTCCAGTTTGACTTTAAGAACTATATCTGGGGGGGGGGGGCTGGATATATTTCTTATATGCACTGGCTGACCCAGTTTCATTCCTAGTCTGCCAAGTTGGCCCTGAGTGATACCTGAGTGTAGAGCCAGTAATAAGCCCTGAGCACCACTGTGGTCTGACCCTCAAACAAAACAAAACAAAACAACAACAACAACAAAAAAAAAAGGAAAAAGAAATATCTTTGGGAGACTGGAGAGATAGGACAGCGGGTAAGGCCTTGCACATGGCCAACCTAGGTTGGATCCTCAGCACCCCAGATGGCCTCCAGAGCCCCACCGGGAGTGATCCTTGAGTTCAGAGCCAGAAGCCCTGAGCCCCCAAACTAGTAAAAATATAAAATGGTACCAGGACTTAACATTGCTGCTTCCATCATCATCTTTTTCCTAACTTGTTGCTTCTCTTTCTCCTAGTGCTCTGTCTCTGTTTCTGTCTCTCCCCCTAGACGCCCTTTAGAAGTCTTCTTTGGTCATTTTAAGTTGAGAAATTGGCACTAAAGCACAAAGGAGAGTTAAATATTCAACATTCTTACTGTTCTTACTGTAAAAACTTCCCCAAAGCTCCCTAATTCTTTTCTTTTGGCTTGTTTTGGGCCACACCAGGTTGTGCTCAGGGCTTCCTCCCGGCTCTGAGCCCAGGGATCCTGCCTGGCTCTGCAGGATCCGGGGGACCCCCTCAGAAGTAAAGACATAGTGACTTTATCAGTGGGTCTCAGAACACGGCCCCATCCCCTCCACCCCTCAGTCCCTCAAAGGAGACAACGCAGCACGGCTACCCACCCGGCGCTCTGGGAATACTGGAGGGCTCGGTGCATGCTCCCCTCTTGGAAGTGGATGGGCTTGCCGTTCTCCACGGTGATGACGGCCGATTTAAAAGGGAAAGTGTTGGGGTTCGGCGACCCGGTAGCCAAGGAGATGAGAGACGGGGGCGATCTGTTCATCAACTCGGCTGCAACGGACAAGAAACACCGCGATGGAGAAGCCAGAAGCTAGACAGACAGGCTTTTCCGGGCAGGCTCGCCTTGTGCTCTCCCGGGACCAGGTCCGAAAGCCACGTGCCGGGCAACTTCCCGGGCGCCGCTGCCCGGCCCGGCGGGGACTTCTGGCTCCTGCAGTCCAGCTAGAAAGGAATCGCGGGTACAAACCGCGGCCCGACCAGCCGGGCCAGCCCAGCCCGCTCCTGCCCGGCCCTGCCCCAGGCTCCTTGTGTCTTACCGGCCTCGCGGGCACCTGGCACGGGGGGCGCCGGGGCGACCCCGGCGCGGGCGAGGACACGCGGGAGGTCTGACTCACTGAGGATGCGGATGGCCGAAGGCCTCCGGGCCGCGCTGGTGGCCGTGAGGAAGCGCGCGTAGTTCATGTCGGATCCCCCAGTCGCACCTTCCAGCCGCTGCGTCCGGGTCGCTGCGTTAAGTACTCGGCGGGTCGCGGGCTCGGGTCTCGGGGAGGGCGCGGGAGCGGGAGCGGGAGCTGGAGCGGGAGCGGGTCCGGAGCTGCCTGCGGCGAGCCCCCAGCCGCGCGCTGGCCCTCCCCGCGCCGCGCCCGCTCCCGCCCCGCGCCGCCGGCCTATCGCCGCCCGCCGCGCACGCCCGGCCGCCCGCCCGGGTCAGCGACTCGGCACCCCAGGTGCTGGACGCGGGCCGACCGCCACACGCGGGCTGGCCGGGACTCGGAGACAATCGCTCTCGGCGCGGCTGGGAGTCGCCGCGGCCCAGCGTCCGGGTGGGTCCCGGTGGGTTTCGGCGGGCCCCTGCGAGGGCTAGAAGCTGGGAGTGTGCTTGGATGTCGCCTGGCGGCTGCTCTGCTACACTGCAACGGCCCGTGTGCACGGTCGGCCTTGCTCCTCCTGCCTTGCAAACTCCCACCTCGTCTTTGCTCCGTTGCAGCGGCCTAGATGCACATATTTTGCCACTCTTGCCTGCCTTGCAAAACCCCGGGGCCAGATGCACTTACTCTGCCTTTCGTCTGCCTTGCAGGCCCCACTGCGTCTCTGCTCCATTGCAGCGGCCCAGATGCAGCCTGTCTCTGCGTTCAACTCGGCCCTTTCCTCAAAGTCCACGTCCGATTTATCTTAACAGGCTTCCCCGCAAACCCCCAGCCCTTGATTCCAAGGAGTTCCACAGCCACTTTGAGGGCCGAACAGGTTAGCGTGAGAAGGGAGCATATCCAGTTTGGGAAGAATCACTCCGAGGGCTGCCTATGTTTTAGGCTCCCCTCCTCTTGAATTTTCACCATTCCTGTGTAACTTAGGTAGGGAGTGTGTATCCAGAGATTTCTCTCTTTTGAGTCTGACCCCTTGGCCTCTTCCCTTACGTAATACCCGACTCCCAGTTTTCTCTCTGATTTCTCCTGCCTGAGTCAGTCATCAAGAACGCAAAGCGCTGTGCATACTCCAAAGAGAGCGAGGGGCAGTCATTCTTTTCTTCTCTAATGGGTATGAAAGTGTGTTTTGTTTTAACACATCCTAAAGGGCTTTCATTGATTCCATAAACATCTGAGGACTTGTTGGATGAGTACTGACACGCTGCCAATGGGCTGTTTTCTAGAGAGAGATAGTAGACGGGTTAAGGACATCCCTCTGCTTTCATCTGGGTCCAGAGAATAAAGGCGTAGTGAAATCTGTACTAGCACACTGCAGTGAAAGTGGTTGTACTCCCCGTACACGCTAGGGGAAAAGGCAGCTCAGAAAGAGAAGGGAGCACCAAATAAAGGGTGTTGGGAGGTGCCCTTCAGGATGGGAAATGCTGATGAGAGTAGACTATAGACGAACAAGATTGCCACTCAATGTCTCTTTTGCAAACCACAGCACTCAAAAGGAGAGAGATAACAAAAGGGAGTGCCCTGCCACAGAGGTAGGGTGGGATGGGAGGTGGGGGGTGGGAGGGATACTGGGACTGGTGGTGGTGGAGAATGGGCACTGGTGAAGGGATGGGTATTCGATCATTGTATAATTGAAACCCAAGCACAAAAATTTGTAAGTCTACAAGTGTACCTCATGGTGTTTCACTAGTAAAAATTTAAGAAAAAAAAAAAGAAAAAAAAGAAAAAAATTCTCATTCATTCTTCTACTAAATAAAAAATAGTATAGGACTGTGATTAAGAGCACAATCTCTAGAATTAAGCAATTTATGTTATATTAATGAATACAGTCAAACAACCAAGCTGCATAGCAATTAAAAAAAAAAAAGAAAGTGGCTGTCCTGGATGAGTGACTTATCTCTCCTGGGATCAGGTTTCTACCCGGAGCTGTTGGCAGGACTGAATGAACCCAGAGGCCCATTCATTGTAAGAGCATTAGGAGTTATGTGCAGTGGCGATTTCTTATGCAAATCTTTTTAAAAAATTTTTATTCGTGAAACACCATGAGGTACAGTTGTAGACTTACAAATTTTTGTGCTTGGGTTTCAGTTATACAATGATCGAGTATCCATCCCCCCACCAGTGCCCATTCTCCACCACCACTAATCCCAGTGTCCCTCTCACCCCCCATCCTCCTATCATCCCACCCTGCCTCTGTGGCAGGGCACTCCCTTTTGTTCTCTCTCTCCTTTTGGGTGTTGTGGTTTACAAAAGAGGAATTGAGTGGCAATCATGTTCAGTCTATAGTCTACCTTCAGCATGCATCTCCCATCCTGGACAGATCTTCCCAATGGGAAGATCTTGTGCAAATCTTAAGGACTCAACTCTCAGATGTGTTTAGAAAACTATTTGGCAATTTTAAGGGTAATTGTACCTTCAATCAACTCATAAGTACAATTAAAGGTCTTTCTGGGATTATTATTATTTTTGTTTTGCTTTTTGAAAATTTCTAGAAATTGGATTCAAAAGCTCTAAATACATTTAAATAAATTATAGGCCTAAATGAGTAACAAAAGGTGACTAGAGATTAAATGTGACTAGAGACTAAATGTTACAAAGAAACATCTACTCTTTGGTAGTAGGAATCTGTTTGGGGAAAGAAATTTGAAGCTCTGGCTCAAGAAAACCTCTGGAAATTAGTTTCCACTGTCATATTTACAACCACACCTGAAATTTGTGTAAAGTTTATTAAATGTGAGTATTTAAAAAGATACAGAACTATTCCTATCATCTCCTTTTTAGTCAGTGGAATTCAAGAAATTTCTTTCTTTCTTTCTTTCTTTCTTCCTTTCTTTCTTTCTTTCTTTCTTTCTCTCTTAAGTTTTTGGATCACACCTGACATCGCTCAGGGGCTACACCTAGCTCTGCACTTAGAAATCACTCCTAGTGGTGCTCTAGGGACCATATGGGATGCCTGGAATCAAACCCAGGTTGGCCCTGTGCAAGGCAAGTGCCCAACCTGCTATAATAGCTCTGTGGACCCTGCCAAAGGGGCCACATTTAAGGAACCCAGTTAAAATTCAAGGAACCTAAACTAGAACGATTTAGGCTCCTCAAGTCATTATGTCACATGCAGCTTCTAAAAATTAAAACCCTGTGTTGAACTTCTCATTTACCAAGCTCTGGTGTGAGATGACTAAGGTCCTGATTGTTTTCATAAGTTGGGTCATGATCTGGGTCAGGTAGAGAACTGGCCCTTGAGTGGAGGAGAGAGCTTTTCTTCCCGAAGATCATGTTTGAAAATGCAAGGCAGAAAATGACGTCCGTTTAGGGAGAGGACTAGCCGAGGACTCTGCTGGGGAGACCTTACCTGATAGTCAGCAGCTGGAGACTGAAGATCTAAAAGGATCCAATTTTGAATTTATTTACTATTTCTTATTTTATTGTTTTTTTTGTTTTATAATTTTTTGATTTTTAAAAAAAAATATTTATTTATTATTGGGGGGTTGATAAGTAGTAGTACTGAAAGAGTAAGATTAACAGGTTCACATAGTCCCAAGTCTGAAGTAGAGGTAGGATAAACTGCTAAGGAAAATAGAGAGAAGGTAATTGTTATTTACCTGGGTCAGAGGTTCTTATTTAGGTTAGAAATCAAAGTGTTTGTTTTTCTCTCTTCTTTCTCTTCCTATCTTGCTCATAGTCCAAAATCAGAGGCCACAAAGAGACAAACTGACATTCTTTACTCATGTCACTTAAAATTTAGAAGATCACTCATGAAAAAGCTTGTTTTGGGGCTGGAGAGATAGCACAGCGGGTAGGGCATTTGCCTTGCATGCCGCCGACCTGGGTTCGATTCCCAGCATCCTATATGGTCCCCTGAGCACTGCCAGGGGTAACTCCTGAGTGCAGAGCCAGGAATAACCCCTGTGCATCGCCAGGTGTGATCCAAAAAGCAAAAAAAAAAAAAAAGAAAGAAAAAGCTGTTTTTCACATGACAGATTTATAGAGGCTTTTCCATAACTTAAGAGGAAGTCAAGTTTTGAAACTCTAAACATTCAAAGAGATTTTTGCCAAAAGTCTTATTTGCGAACCTAGGGCCAAACTTTGTGTCTGGATGAGGTGGTTTGGCATAGTGGATGCATGTGTTTATTAAAAGGGGGGTGGAAAAACATATTATGTGACAAGTTTCCCATAAATTTAACAACTGTGATATTAGCCTGCTGGCCTGCCCTAACAATGAGAGGGCAGATTTACTAGTCAAGACATTAGAAGTTATTTTTTTCTTATACTTCTGGAGGCGTGAAGTCCATGACCAAGATGCCGGCAGGTTTGGTTTCTCCCAAGGATTTTCTCCATGGCTGCAAAGAGTTGTCTTCTCCCTGAGTCCTTAGGGAACCCTTTCCCATGTATCAACGTCCTTAAAATTTCATCTTCTTATAAGGACATCAATAATATCAGATTATCTCCATCATCATTGTCATCATCATTATTTTGTGTTTGGGGGCCACTCTGGGCAGTATTCATGGGAAAAGTTTTTCTTTGCAAGTCAAGTAGAACCTGGCAATGGTATCTAGTGATCTTATTCCGAGCTTTAGGACTGGAATGATAATGGCTGCTATCTGCTGCCCTCCTTGTCACTCTCCCATTTAAAATGAACGGCCGAGGGCTAGAACTGTTGAACAGTAGGTAGGGTGCTTGCCTTGCATGGTGCATAGCTGGGTTAGATCCCTGTAACCCTATATGACCTCCAGAGTTTACCAGGAGTGATTCCAGAGTACAGAGCCAGGAATAAACTCTGAGCCCCACTGAATGTGGCCTTAAAACAAAAACAAACAAACAAACAAGGAGCTGCTGAGAGGAGCACCCAGAGGCTGGGCAGATTCTGCTGGGCTGTGTAAATTAGTTGTGATGTTGTCAGGAAGGGCGGCAATTGTACCCCAGGATTTGGGGTGAGATTGAATAAATTCACTGGACACCCCACAAATGCAAGGCAGGCACTCTATTGCTGGCCATATCTTTGGACCTTGAAGTGAGTCATTTAATTAATTAAAAATTTTCATTATACCTTGCTTGTCTTGTCCGTGTTTTCCCTTGAACACAAATCTTGCTCTATTTGCTCACTTATTTCCATTTGGGAGAAGCTTGTCTTATCTCTTGAACAGATTCTTCTCTGTTTCTCTCCCCTCACATTTTCTAAATAAGTTTTAATAAAAACCATCTTGTTTCA